GCAGTGGTCCTAGTTCTGCCCACTGTGGAGTCCTCTCCAGCTTCGGCTTGCCAGCCTGTCAGAGGTTGAGGAGATCAGATCATTTCCCCTGGGGCTGCTTTCCTCCTGGCTGAGCAGTCCCAGCTCTTGTTAGTAGAAATCCAGTTTTTCTCCTGACACACTGTAATTTGGGCTTGGCAAGTAGAGTCCCTTTCACGTGCCAGCTGGGGTTGGCTGTGTGGAGTGCCCTGTTGGAAGAGGGCTGAGTCTGCCCAAGATCTGCAGGAGGGAGTGTGATTAATTAGCAATGTCTGAGGGCCAGGTGAGCGGAGAGCGGGGCAAGCACCTGCCCCAGGTCTGCCACCCCACCCTAGGGCTCTGGACAGTCAGTGCCGCTCCCAGGCTCGGTCTTCCACAGTGATCTGACAACTGTAGCCGGCAACAAGGCGATCTTTGCTCCTGGATTTTCATTCGTGTCTGTGACTGGCTCTCGGCTGCATCGCAGCATCAGCTCCCATTAACCCTAGGCGCAACAGAAGAATCCCGAGTCTTTTTCATAAGAACAGCCATCAAACCAGATCTTCCCGCTGTCTTGAGATTATTTCCATTATACAGATATAGAATTAATTTAAATCAATCCTTTGTTGATGTTCATTTAGATTATTCCCCAATTTTTGAAATTAGAAACACTGAGGTGAAAATCCTCTACCTCTGTGTGTATTGGTCTTGTTTCCTTAGCACAGATCTCTGGAAAAGGGGTCACCGAACCAGGAGTGTCTTCTGAAAGTGCTGGGTGGAAGCCACCCAGCTGCCATAGGACGTTCCAGAGACTGTAGACTGTCAGGAATGCTCAGGACTTGGAGCAGGTCACCCATTTTTCTGATCTGCACGTGGCCCAGGCATCTGCAAGAGCTCATGAATTCAAGAGTGCAGTTGAGGACTCATCTTGTGTGTTCAGTCCCATCCGACGGGCTGGATAGTGGGAGAAGCTTCCCGAGGGAGCGGGACCGGTGGCCTAGTGTTGAGCAGCCAAGCTCAGGAGGTCCGAGGCAGTGCTGGGGTCAGGGCGGTGGGGACCAGCCTGGCTGTCCAGAAGCCCCACCTAGACACTCGTGTACTCTGGCAAAGTGTGACTGTCATTTTACAGCCAAGATCTGTCACTAGGGCATCTGTCCTTCTGCCGTGAGGAGGGAAAGGTTGCCTGTTCTGTACAATGTGACATTTCTTCCCTCCCAGAAAGAAACTGGGGCCCGAGCAGAGTGCTTAGCCCGGAGCTTCTGGCCACCCTAGAGAAAAGCGTTGTTATGGGCTCAGACAGAAGATGCCAGGCGTCTGCGAGGCGAGCTTGATGACTGTCCTGGCTGGTCCCCTGAGACAGCGATGCCAGCTTATTCCTCCGCCCGCAGACCGCGAGCGCCCGCTGCGCACGCCTGTGTCAGCGCTGGCGTCTTGTTTAAAAAATACCTTTTTGTTTATCAGTTCAGATAAACTCTAATTAAGAAAACTCTGTTTTAGTGTCTAATACTGTGTAGCTCTGACCGGGACCATCAAGAAGTGATGTTCCCTGCTCAAGGTGGTTTGTAAGCGACGTTGGAAAATGCACGCTGTTCTCACTCTGTCCACACGTTTGTGAGAGGAGCCTGGTGGTGCCATGCCCGTTGCAGTAGGATGGCCTGGCCATTTCTTTTCTTTTTAGGATGGTTTAAAAGGGAAGGGCTGCCACATTCCACAACTCAAAGCGATGCCGTTCACACAGACTCAACAAAACGTGACAGAGTGGCTAGGGGCTGGCTGGGGAGGAGGGACTAAAGTGATGATGCCCAGGACCCTGCCCTGAGATTGGAGTGGAAGGCTGGGGGCAACTGTCAGACCTCCCCTTCCTGGAGAGGGTGACCTTGTGAGCAGACTAAGACTCTCCCAGGCACATTCTGGACCTGCTGACTCCACCAGCCAGGAGCCTGGCAGTGCCCAGAGTGGGAGTCCTGGACTGGCACAGCCAGAAAGTGCTTGCCTGCCCCCAGCCACCCTATCTCAGTCCTGTCCCCAAGGTACCCTTGTACTCCAGGTCATGCCCACTACGATGTCCTGCCCATCTTGAGTTCAGTGGCCATCATCGGCTTCTCTTTCCTCACTCACTTCTGCCCCAAACCATGGGTGGCAGGGAATAATGGCAATCTTCCAAGTTCACAGGTGGGCTCTGGCCCTTGCGCACTCCCCACTGTTAGGGGAAGAATGCCCTGTTTGCCTGCTCACAGCTGTTTTCAGGACAGATAGGAAAGGTGAAGAGTGAAATCTCTCCAGACTTGAGAGGTGGACATTGCTCCTTTATTTGGGGCTCCTAGGTCAGGGGCAGTGCAGTGAGGGTCCTGGCCCACCACTCCCTGGCAGAGTCTCCTGGCAGTGCAGGAGTGGCCCATGACCCCCGAGGGGCTTCCTGCTCCAGGGACCTGCAGGGAAGCTGTCTGGCAGTCTCTGTTTCTGCGGAATCTCACTTACAGGACTGTTTTAGATTCTCCTCTTAGTAGTGGAGACCTAGCTGCATCTCCACTACTAGCTGCATCTCCACTACAAGTCTTTGTTTCCTGTCAGCCTTTTGCCCAGAAACACAGATTGGGCCTCGGATGGAAACATTTCTAGTTTGGGGATGTGTGCATGGAAATACTTCCTTGTGATGTGCCAGCAGGCTGTGGAGACAAGGGAGACAGGGAGGAGCATGGGGGCAGGGCAAAGGCCTGGGCCTTGGGGTCAGGCACGTGGGATGGGCTTCCCAGGGAGCCTGGTCACTCTGTGAGCCGAGGATCGATTGGCTGAAGCCTGAGATGGGCACTCGTTCCTCACTGTACATGACAGTTGCTTGGGGTTTGGCAAGGCATTGTTCACGGCTTTGTCAATAGAATGGGAGAATTTTAAGATCTGCCTGTCCCATTCCTGTTCCCCCAGCCAGTGTATACTCATGAGGCCCAAAGGAAGCCGCTGTGGGTGGGGGATGCAGAGGAGGGGGATTGGGTGACCTCTGTGATATTGGGAGAATCTGAAGGGGTGGCGTTCCTTGAATACCTTGAAGGTATCTAGTCCAACCCATTTGGATTACAGATAGGGAAACTGAGACCTTGAAATGAGGGGTGACCTCAAGGCAGAGCCAGGTAAAAAACCTGGGTCTCCTCTGCTTGTCTCCTCTCCTCACCTTGGCCCCTAGGGAGCAGGTGGAGTATCTCATTGCTTGTCCCCAGAGCCATTTAGTGAAGTGGTAGTCTTGTCCCTAAGCTACAAGCTGGAAAGCAAGTACAGAAATTTGCAGTGTAGGCCTGGCTTGAGGTGCAACTGGCCTCAGAGAGCAGGCTGCCCCCACCACCTAGGTTGCTGGCTATGCCCTCTGCTCCAGCACCTCCTTCCCTGGACCCCCACTCTGGGTTTCTTTGGAGTTGGTGAACAGCCTTACATTCTGCACTTGGCAGTGGGCTCCTGCCAGGCCCCTGAGGGGCGGCAGGAATAGAAGCAGAGTGGGCAGGGGGGTGGACCCGTTGGCCCCAGGCTGTTGCATGCAAGGCGTTCCCATTGGTCTGAAGAAAGGACCATTGAGGAAGCACCGCAGCCTGGATAAGGTCTGTGTTGTTCCCTTCTTTCTGCTGTGCCCTTACGGTGGGATCTCCACCCTGGCCCCGGGGACTAGAGAGTCTTTAAAGTCCCTTCCAGGCTGAGGTTGAGTGATTTTACAGGGACAGGGAACTCGGCAGGGTGCCTAGAAGTTGCGTTAGAAACTCATTGCTTAAATTTCTCCCTTCCTTCCTTGTCTTACACCATAAAGCAGTCTGCAGTAGAAACCAACATCTGCACAAAATGAAATGTCTTCTGAGCTCATGGGTTAGGGTGAGTTGGCCCATCTGGCATGCCCCGCCAGTTGGCCCAACTCCTACACTATGCTGGCAGACGTTGAGGGAATGTCGTGGGGACAAGAGGCAATGAGGTGGAGGGGAACACTCGGTTTCAGGGTCCCACCAGCTTGGGCTTGAATCCTGACCCACCTACTCACTGCCTAGGTGACTTCAGGTAGCTCTTACCGGCCTATCTCCTCACCTGTAAAGAGAAACCTAATAATTCCTCCTTTGCAGACTGGTTTTAAGATATAGAGAAAATGTGCATACATCACTGTATTCGTTTCTAAACCTGCCATAAAAAATACAGACTGGGGGGCTTAAACCGCAGACTTTATTTTCTCACAGTTCTGCAGCTTGGAAGTCTCAGATCAAGGTGTGGGCAGGGTTGTTTCTCCTGCAGCCTCTCACCTTGGCTTGCAGATGGCTGTCCTCTTCCTGTGTCCTCACGTGGTCATCCCTCTGTCTGTCCTAATCTGTTCTTAGGACACCAGTCATATTGGCTTAGGGCCCACCCTAATAACCCTATCTTAACTTAATCCCCTCTAAAAAGACCCTATCTCCAGTGACAGTCCCATGGTCAGGTAAGGGGTTAGGACTGCAGCCTACACATCTGGGGGGACACCTTAGCCTGTAACAAGCACCAGCACGATGCCTGGTCCCAAGTAGGTGTGCCGTGAAGTCACTTTTGTTAATTATTGTTTTTTAAAAAAGGTAAAAGAAACCACTGGTGTACTTACTGCAGGCGGCAGGGACAAAGTGACAGGATTCACCAGCCAGTATTTACTGAGCACCTGCCAAGTGCTAGGCACTGCTCCCGGTGCTGGGCTCATCAGTGACCCAGTGGGCCGTGGAGCATTCTTGTGTGGCAGACAGACGGGCAGCATAATCACTCAGTACAGTGTGTCGCATGTCACAGGTTTACAGAGGAAACTAAATCTGAGTGAGTGCAGCAGGGTCCTCAGGGAGGCCTGAGCGGAGTCTTCGTGGGCCACCCTGGCTGCATGTGGACCCACCATGGCAAGGGAGGGGCAGGGAGAGCCCCATGGGCTCCTCTTGGGCCGTGTGGGGCCACCCCCTTCCACAGCCTGGTGCCCTGGTTCTGGTTTCCCGCTCACAGGAAGTCTCTCACCCCTCTCTCCTCTGCAGCGTCGAGGGTGAGGCCCCCAGCAGCGAGACTGGCACGTCCCTGGACAGCCCCTCAGCCTACCACCAGGGCCCCTTGGTGCCCGGTTCCAGCCTGAGCCCGGACCACTACGAGCACACATCGGTGGGGGCCTATGGGCTGTACTCGGGGCCGCCGGGGCAGCAGCGCACGCGGAGGCCCAAGCTGCAGCACTCGACCTCCATCCTGCGCAAGCAGGCCGAGGAGGAGGCCATCAAGCGCTCCCGCTCGCTGTCTGAGAGCTATGAGCTCTCCTCGGACCTGCAGGACAAGCAGGTAGGTGGACACAGCCCTGCGGGCCACACAGCGACAAGAGGCAAGGCAGCTCTGCCCACTGCCTGTGGCCTCCCCAGGCATGACGGCCAGCACTGGAGTCTGCTGTCAGATGCTGTCTCCATCAGGTTCAAGTTAGGGTGTATGTTTGCTAAGGACCTGGCCTTCTCCTCGGCCTGAGCCCTGCCTTTCTCCTCCTGGGAGCCTTTGCCCCAGCGTGGCTCGGGCTGGGATGTTTGAAGGGACTCGATTGTCTGACATTCCTTCTGGAGACTCTTGTAGAATTGTCCTCAGATGAGGCCTTTGCCTGGGTTCCATGCCCCTCAAGGCCTGGATCTGGGGGCTGTGGTGGGGATCTGAGTGTGATAGCCCAGCACCACCAGGACACACAGGTTGCGTGGCCAGCCACAGAGGTTCTGAAGACCCAGGGAAGACTTGGGGAGGGAGCCCCCAGGGGGAGAAGGAGGGAGGTCAGTTTACGACATAAATAGCACAAGCTCGGAAAGGAACGCCTAGCCCATCTGCAGCCAGTGAGGTGAGGCTGCTTATTATGTCCCTCTTGGTTCACAAGTCTGTGTTCTTGTGGGGAATTGCCTCATTGAAGGTGCACTCCCTCCCCCAGGGGCCTTGGTCCAGAGCAATGACCCTGTCCCACCATGGGGTGGGCACCTGTGTGCAGAACGGAGAGGAGGAGCAGCCTGCCTGTCTGGCTGGGCTCGAGGAAGGAGCAGAAGCAGCTTCTCAGGGTTGAGGGAGAGAGGAGAGTTCTGTCTCCACTGGGGCAGTGGAGGAGGGAGAGCTAGGACGTGAGTCCTGGGGAAGCAGAGAGCTCTCAGTTCCAGGTCCCTCGGAGTGCAGGTGCGTAGTGGCCCTTCAATAAGGACCCGCGTGAATGAGCAGATGGATACACAAGTGAGCCAGTGAACTGACAACTCTCCTGCAGTTTCAGGCTTCAGGAGAACTCCTGGGCTGCCAAGAAGCAGCTTGGCAGGCTTGCAGGGGCAGGCTGCGGAAATCTGGCTTTGCGCAGCTCCTGGGTGCTGGGCTTTGGGCAGGTTCCTCGTAACTCCCAGGCAGCCGGCTCTGTCCCGGCCCGGCCTCAGACCCTTCCCAGCCACGCCAGACTCCATGCTGTAGATGTCACCTTGCCCTCCCTCCTGCCCACAGCTATCCCACGGCCTGGCCTGCCTTCTCTCTGCTCCCTGATCTTCCCATTTGTCCTTCAAGGAGCAGAGGTCTGGGCCCAGTGTGGCCCCCTTCCTACGGGAGTGGTGGGGGCTGCCCAGGGTGGGTCTTCTCTCCTGGCAAATCATTCCTTGCTTAGCCCCTCCCACCCGCTTTCAGTGCCACCCTGCAACTTTGGCCAGGCCAACGCAGGGGAGGACGGCCTCTGTTCCGTTTATCCAGTGTGCCCAGACCCAAAGTAGATCGCAGGCAGTTTGTAGTAGGAGGCATCTGTGGCAGGACATTAGGTCAGTAATGAGAAAGGTGAGACTCAGTAGAGGCTGTCTGTGGCGGTAACTACGTGCTTAATGCAGCCCTACTACGGCTGCAGCTGTCTGTTTTCTTTCAGTGCATGTCAGCTGAGTGCCCCGTGTGCCAGACACTGCTGGGGAGTCGCCAGGGAAGGAGACGAGGCCCCTCCTGAGCTGGCGCGGTGGTGCAGGAGACAGACCACAAGCAAGTTAGCACTCAGGAGACAGTGTAATTCCAGAAAGCGATGCAGACTCTAGAGATCGCAAAATTGGCTGTGGGCGGTGACAGCATTAAATAAGGGTGGTAGAGAAGACCACTCTCAGGTGGAGTTAGAACTGGGTGTTCCAGGAAGAGGTGAGAGCCAGGTGCAAAGGCCCTGAGGGAAGAGTGAGCGTGGTGTGCGAGAGCTGGAACAGAAGAGGCGAGAGGGAGGCTGCAACATGGAGGGCTGCTGAGCTTCCTGGCAAGCAAGGCAAAAGCAACTGCCAGGTGAAAGTAGCATGCCTGATTCCACAAGGAGTTTTAATTCTGGGTAACACAAAGCCTCATTTGGGTGAAAGGAGCCCAACGGGTAGTCTGGTGTTCTTCTGGTCCCCAGCCATCTGTACTTTCTGGTGGTTTCCTGTCCTTGAGAGCAGGAGGCCTCCGTGGGCCTCACAGTCGCTGTGTTACCAAGCGGGGCAGTTCTGCTTTGTAGAAGGGCATTTCCTGGTTCTTCATCCCCACTGTTCAGAAGTGTCCCTTTCAGGGCCAGTGAGGGTCTGATGGGACAGCCCTGGCCACCATGGGTAGGGGGTCAACTCCCGTACCCATTATCTGTGTGGCCTGGGCCGGCTGCTTCCCTGCCCCGAGCCTCTCCTCCTCTGGGAAGTGGGGCATTGAAAGCCCTCAGGAGGCCAGAAGTTGCTGTGAGCATCAGATGAGGTGTGCAGTCTGCAGCACACACAGCCGGCCAGCAGGTGTCCATGCCTGCTGGCTTGTCCTGCCCTGGGTTCCAGTAAGTGTTTAGACTGGGCCTGGTGTTAGTTACAGTTCAGAAAGAAGAATGAGCATGGTGAGTTTGGGGGACGAGCAGCCCTAGGTCAGTGCGTGTCCCCTTGGGGAGGGACTATGAGAGGCTTTAATGACTAAATGCAGTACCCGTTTCTGCCCTGCTGACACCCCGTTGCTCCCAACACACATGCAGATTTGGGAAAAGGCCTCAGGAAAACAGGGTGGCTGCCTAGTGTGTGAGGTCCAGAGCCAGCAGGCAAGACAGCCCTGCGGTGAGCTCCAGGCCAGAGCTGGTGGCCCTGGTGCTTGTGACATCCCCACCCAGGGCTGACAAGGGATGCCAGGACTATGGGCCTTCTTGGGCAAAAAGGGAGGACGGGAAGAAAGAGCTTCCCAGAGTGCAGCCTCGGGCCCCTTATTGGCCCTGTAGGCTTTCTGAGTTCCACTCACAACCCAAAAAGTAGAAAACTCTCTGCTTGCAGATGTGGAAGTGAGGTCATCTCTTTGGATGGCGTTCAGTAACTGTGGGGGAAGAGGAAAAGCAGAACCACCCTGGCTGACTCTGGGCCTGGCTGGGCTTAGAAAAGTCATTTTGATCCCCACACCCAGCTCTTCTCTGCCCAGCCTGCCCAGCCCTTCCTGTGGGCCCAGGAGAGCTGCCGCGTTCCCCGTTTGGGGCGCTCTGGACCAGCTTCACAGGTGTCCCTGGATGGCTCGGCACGCCGACTGCGCAGGGAGGCGCAAGAAGCACGAAGTCACTTGCCTAGGCCACCTGCCTGGGAAGCCAGAGGGCCAGGCTGCATGCTCACGCGTGCCGGCCCCCGGCAGCCCGGAGAGCCCCGCGCCTGCCTCCCCGCCCTGACTCAGGCCGCAGCCCGTGTTTTGCTTGGCATCTGCTCAGTCGATTCCAGCTGTGTGTCTGTGTCTGTCTGTTCCACTGGACAGACTCTCGCTCCGCAAGGCAAGGGCTTGTGTGTCCCCCTTTCTGCTGTCAGTTTGGTGTGATGGCTGGTGTGTCGGGCCAGTGGGGCGAAGCGGGCAGGTACAGCGCTTTGCCTCACTCCTAGGGACCTGAGACCTCTCCCAGCCCCATCAGACGGCCGCCCTGCCCCAGCACCCGAGAGGCCTGGCCACAGAGAAGCCAATTCCTTCTCTTCGCTTTTCTTTGATTCACACAGAGCCAGCTCCGGCTGCGCGGCTGTGTTCATTTTTCAGGAGAAAGCTCAGGGAGCAGCCTTCCTGGCTGTCCGTGGTTGTGGGTGGCCCCGCCGAGCCCTAGGACTTTGGGAGGCCCATATGTCACACTGGGCCCCCCGCTGCCTGCAGCCCTGCCCTTGCAGGATGATGGCTGTGCACCCCATCTCCAAACGCGGACACAAGCCATCGGGAACAGCGGTGCCCAAGAGGGAGAGCCTCCCGGAGCAAGTCTCTTAAGCTGCGTGGGCCTCAGGTTCCTCTTCCCTAGAGGGGCTGGCTTCACTCACTTCTTCCAGCATCTCCAGAGTGTTTTCATTAGATTGTATGCTACAAGGTACACTTGGGCCAAAGGCGTCCATGACCTGAGAGGCTCAGGAAACACGGCATACTGTATCCCACTGCCTTTTAATGACTGGATGTGGTGGCTCTCATCTGTAATCCTAGCACTTTGAGAGGCTGAGGTGGCAGGATCATTTGAGGTCAGGATTTTTTTTTTTTTTTTTTGAGACAGAGTCTCACTTTTGTTGCCCAGGCTAGAGTGAGTGCCGTGGCGTCAGCCTCGCTCACAGCAACCTCAAACTCCTGGGCTCAAGCGATCCTCCTGCCTCAGCCTCCCGAGTAGCTGGGACTACAGGCATGTACCACCATGCCCGGCTAATTTTTTGTATATATACTTTTAGTTGGTCAATTAATTTCTTTCTATTTTTAGTAGAGACGGGGTCTCGCTCAGGCTGGTTTCGAACTCCCGACCTTGAGCAATCCGCCCGCCTCGGCCTCCCAGAGTGCTAGGATTACAGGCGTGAGCCACCACGCCCGGCCTGAGGTCAGGATTTTAAGACCAGCCTAGGCAACACAGTGAGACTAGATCTCTACAAAAAATTTAAAAATTCACTAGGCATGGTGGCACATGCCTATAAGTCCCAGGTACATGGGAGGCTAAGGCAGGAGGATTGCTTAAGCCCAGCAGTGTGAGGTTGCAGTGAGCTATGATGACACCACTGCCCTCATGCCCAGGCAACAGAGTGAGACTGGAAGCATATTTGCATTCGCTTTAGGGGACCCATATTCCACATAAGCCCACCAGCACCACTCAGCAGTCGCTCTAACCAACTTTGAGATGTGCTGAGATCTTCCCAGGCTGTGCCTCTATAGGGTTAGGAAGCAAGAACTGCTGTGGTAGGTGCCACGCTGTGCCTACCTGCAGGATGTCCTCATTCTTCTCTCCTCCCCCCAGGTGGAGATGCTAGAACGAAAGTATGGGGGCCGCCTTGTGACCCGCCATGCAGCCCGCACCATCCAGACTGCGTTCCGCCAGTACCAGATGAACAAGAACTTCGAGCGGCTGCGCAGCTCCATGTCGGAGAACCGCATGTCGCGCCGGATCGTGCTGTCCAACATGAGGATGCAGTTCTCCTTCGAGGGGCCCGAGAAAGTGCACAGCTCCTACTTTGAGGGGAAGCAGGTTTCCGTGACCAACGACGGCTCCCAGCTGGGGGCCCTGGTGCCCTCCGAGTGTGCCGACCTGGGAGAGGCGTCCAGCCTCAAGTCTCCGGCCCCCTCCAGCGACTTCGCAGACGCCATCACGGAGCTGGAAGACGCCTTTTCCCGGCAGGTGAAGTCACTGGCCGAGTCCATCGACGACGCTCTCAACTGCCGCAGCCTGCACTCTGAGGAGGCTCCTGCCATGGACACGGCACGCGCCCGGGACGCTGAGTCCAAGCCGGCCCTGCACAGCATGGACCACCGCAAACTGGATGAGATGACAGCCTCGTACAGCGACGTCACCCTGTACATCGACGAGGAGGAGCTGTCACCTCCTCTGCCCCTCTCGCAGGTGGGGGACCGCCCGTCCAGCACTGAGCCAGACTTGCGACTGCGTGCCGGGGCTGCAGCCCAGGACTACTGGGCCCTGGCCCACAAGGAGGACACGGCTGGCACGGACACTAGCTGCCGGAGCACGCCGTCGCTGGAGCGGCAGGAGCCACGGCTGCGGGTGGAGCACCTCCCACTGCTGACCATTGAGCCGCCCAGCGACAGCTCCGTGGACCTTAGCGACCGCTCCGACCGCGGCTCCCTCAAGAGGCAGAGCGCCTACGAGCGCAGCCTTGCTGGGCAGCAGGGCAGCCCCAAGCATGGCCCCCACAGCGGCCCCCCCAAAGGCCTCCCCCGAGAAGAGCCAGAGTTGCGGCCCCGGCCACCCAGGCCCCTGGAGAGCCATCTGGCCATCAACGGCTCAGCCAACCGGCAGAGCAAGTCTGAGTCTGACTACTCAGACGGTGACAACGACAGCATCAACAGCACGTCCAACTCCAACGACACCATCAACTGCAGCTCCGAGTCCTCGTCCCGAGACAGCCTGCGGGAGCAGACCCTCAGCAAGCAGACCTACCACAAGGAGACCCGCAACAGCTGGGACTCGCCCGCCTTCAGCAACGACGTCATCCGCAAGCGGCACTACCGCATTGGCCTGAACCTCTTCAACAAGTGAGTGGGGCGCCTGTAACCAGAGCGGGCGCGGGGCACGGGGCCCACGGCAGGCGAGCAGGGCTGACTGTCCTGCGCTGCGGCCCGCCTGCCTGCATGGTGCCAGGTTCGAGGTTCAGAGTGGCACATGTGGGCAGGGCAAGACCCCACACAAGGTGCTGGGGGAGAGTCCAGCTGTGAGGGGCGCCCGGCCCTCCCAGGGCCACTGTCAGGTGCTCACAGGCTGAGTGGGGACGCATGGGGGCTTTTCTGTGGGGAAGCATCAGAGACAGCCATCCCCCGGAGAACAGGGCCCTGTCCGTCGTGTGGCAGCGAGGGGCATGTTGGGCCGTGTCCTGCCCAGGCTTGCTTGTCAGGCTCAGGTGATGCAGGGCACAAAGGCCTTGGAGCAAGGGCAGGGCAAGCTGCCTGGGGCCGGGAGGGGGCCCAGGGGCAGACGCAGGCTCTACCTGGGGCCGTGTCTGGGGGTGACACCCTGACGCTCTACCTGGGGCTGTGTCTGGGGGCGACACCCAGGGGCAGACGCTCTACCTGGGGCTGTGTCTGGGGGTGACACCCAGGGGCAGACGCTCTACCTGGGGCCGTGTCTGGGGGTGACACCCAGGGGCAGACGCTCTACCTGGGGCCGTGTCTGGGGGTGACACCCAGGGGCAGACGCAGGCTCTACCTGGGGCCGTGTCTGGGGGCGACACCCAGGGGCAGACGCTCTACGTGGGGCTGTGTCTGGGGGTGACACCCAGGGGCAGACGCAGGCTGGATCCGGTGCTATGTCTGGGGGAAGGAGGACACCAGGTCTTGGGGAGCTACGTGACTTGGGTTCAAGGATTGGCTGCTTCCCATGGGCATCCGGGAAAGGTGCTGCCGGGCAGTCCTGAGAGGGGATACAAGGAGGAACGGGGATTTGAAGCAGACTATTCTTAGCACAGCCAAAAATAACATGAGGAAGGAGAGGAGAGCTGAGCACTCTTTCAGGGGACGCTGGCAGGCTCTCGTGAAGCCTGCGGTGTCACATTATGTCCAACCCCAGGGCCTCTGGGGTTTTGGGTCATCAGATACTGACCTGCCACTGACTCCCTGGGATTTGGGGACGTGGAAGGGATGTGGCCAGCCAGCTTGGTGGCCTCTGACACACATCCTAGGAGCCAGGGGCAGACAACGGTTCTCCCAAATGGTCACACAAGGCTGGTGAGTGTCACAGTGGCCCCTCGAGGCCGTGCCAGGCTGCACTTCCTGCTCCCTGCTGCATCCTCTCCTAGATTGGGGGACAGGGCACTTCTGAGCCATCCCTGGTGCAGATGGAAGCGCTGTCTGGGGGCATCTGAGAGGCCTGTCCTGGGAGGTGGGTCTAGAGAATGGGGCATTCACCTGGTGCTAGCCAGGGGCCGTGGATACTGGGTGGGTGCTCAGCTAAGAACTGAGTCCTGGTCATCTCTCATCTGCCAGGGCGCTTTCTCCTGAGCCTCCAGCCTGCTAGTGGCCTGCTGCACGTGAGGGCAGCCCGCCGCAGCGGAGCTGCATCTAGAGCAGTGTCCTGCTGAGCCCGTCCCGGCTCTGTCCTGGAAGTGTGCCCCCACTGCTCCTGGGCACAGCCCAGCTCCAGGGTCATCCCAGACCCGGGCCTGTGTCCCACAGTGGGAAGGCTGGGTCACAGGGGTCCCCAAAGAGTGGACAGGTAGGAGCCAGGACAAACAGTCTCCCTCAGCCAACCAGCTTTGGTCTTTGTAGATTCTCTCTTGTTAATTTTTGATTACACGTGTGACACGTGAATACACCCTCCACAGAAAATGCAAGCCTTTCAGCAAGGGTAACATCCTCTTTGGCTCTTAGCATTTTGCAGTTTCTCTTTCCAGATCTTTTATCCTGTGCATCCGTGTATACTCTTAGGACTATAGACAGACATCATTAAGGACACAGCTCTGGGGCCAGGCTGCCTGGCTTCAAGTCACAGCCCCCCCTTCCTATCTGTGTGTCCTGGGGGAGCACAGCTCCCTGTGCCACGGGGTCTGCATCTGTCAAATGAGCGGATGCCAGTGGCATCAGGGCTGTGAGGGCGAAGAGTGGGGTGTGGAGTGCTGGAGCAGGGCCTGGCACACAGTGAGGCCTGTGTGCGAATGAGCTGCTATTTTTCAATCCTTGCTAGCATCATTTGGGGCCTGAGACTGTGTGACATTGTCTCACTGGGATGTCACTATGCCTTTTGCTGGGCCATGCACATAGGCTGCCTTGTTCCTGTTAGCTGCTGCATGGTCGTCCACAGTGTGGGCCATCTGTAGTGTTTTGACTGGTTGCTTTTTCAGTGATCAATGGTATGACGGTGGACATAACCCTTTATGCACACACCTGAGCAGTTTCTGGATAAAATAGCTAGCAATGGAATTGTTGAGGCTTGGGTCAACATTGTTTTAATTGGAGTAGGAACTGCCCAGATTACTGTTTACAAAGAGGCTCTACCTGTTTCCACCTTTGCCGTTGGATTTAAGAGTTCCTATTTCCCCCAAGTGCTTGTCATTGCTTAAGTATTCTTTTTCCCTCCAGTCATTGGGTAGAAATCGTGTCCCTTGCTTGTTTGAATTTTTCTTTACCTGCTTACCTGAAAGGTGGAGCATCTGCAAGGGTGTCTTTTGGCTATTTGGGCTGTCTGTAATGCCTCTGCATATTCTTTGCCTGTTTTGCTATTGGTTGGCTGTCAATTTTGAGGATATGTAATTACTAGGAATTCTTTATACATTGTGGATACTAATCCTTTGTAATTACAGATATTTTCCTGTTACTTGTCTTTCTTTTTAAAAATTTTTCCTTCTGAAAATTGTAATTCACATACCATAAAATTCACTCTTACAAACAGTATACAATTTAGTGGTTTTAGTTACACATCTTGTTTATGTTTTCTTGCCTAATAGTTTTTAATTTTAATTAGTCAAATCATCAATGTTTTCTTTTTTGTAGTTACTTCGGCTTTTTATGTTTTATTCTAAAAAGCTCTGCCCCAGGTAATAAACATAGTTTTAAAAATATTTTTTAGTACTTACATGGTTGTATTTTATACATTTTACAACTTTAATCTGGAGTTTGTTTTGGAGGCCGATACAAGGTGAAGTCTAACTTTGGTTATGCTCTGTGAATTAGCCAGTTGTCTCAAACAATTTATGGCATAGTCTGTTTTTTCTCTGCTGACTTGAAATGCCATCTGATTCCTACATGAACATGGGTCTGGGCTTAGATCCTTTCATTCATTCAGCAAATATTTATTGGACAGATACTGCATGCCAGGCTCTGTTTTGGGCGGCCTGGGACATCTCAGCACACAGAATAAAGATCATTGTGTCAGGTGTGGTGGCTCACGCCTGTAATCCCAGCACTTTGCAAGGCTGAGGTGTGAGGATTGGTTGAGGCCAGGAGTTCAAGACAAGCCTGGGCACATGGTGAGACCCTGTTTCTATTAAAAAAAAAAAATAGAATAAAGATTCTTGTGGAGCTCTACTTCAATGGTTAGGAGCTTTGTTTGTTTATGCCCTTGTCAACATCAGAATTTTAACTGCTACAGTTTACTACGGTTTCTTATTAGGGTGAGAACCCCTTTCTTGTTCTTTTTAAAAATTGTCATGGAGCAGGGTGTGGAGATGCGTCCCTATAATCCCAGCTTCTCTGGAGGCTGAGACAGGAGGATCACTGGAGCCCTGGAGTTCAAAGGCGCAGTGAGCTGTGGTCCCACCTGTGACTAGCCACTGCTCTCCAGCGTGGACTGCACAGCAAGACCCTGTCTCTAAAAACAGGAGTTTGTCTTGGCTCTTCTTGAGGAGCTATCGTTGCATGTGACTTTTAGATTCAACTCATTAAGACCCATGAAAATTCCTGGTGGACACTGGAGTTGCTTTCAGCTCCGAACTAACTTGGGGAAACTTGCCTTTTTATACCATGGATGGTAGCACTCTGATCCACAAGTGGCTGTTTAAATGAACACTAAAATTAATTCAGTCCCGCAGTGGCACTAGCCACATTCCAAGTGCTCTGTCCACATGTGATTGGTGGCTGCTTCTTTAGGTGGAGAGACAGTCCCCTCACGTTCTCCTGTAGTGTGAGCACTGTTAGTGACCCCACTTTTCAGATGGACGAACTGAGGCTCCAAGAGGGTACCTTGCCCAGGGGCACACAGCTGGTAGGTGACTCAAGTGCCACTCACAGCCTGACACTGTTCTCACCCACTAGGTAATGAGGTCATACCCAGGCACCTGGCTCCTGAACACATTCTCTTAAAATCCATACTGTAGTAACTGCCACCAGGGGTGTAACCCTGGGCTCCCCACTTCCTTACCCAGTGACATTCCTGTAAACTGAGTCCAGAGCCTTACCATTCGTGGGAGGCCGTGCAGCGCTGGAGCAGTGGTCCAGGGCCCGCCGCAGCGTCGGGAGCTGGGGCCTGGCAAGCCCTCCTGAGCCTGTTGCCTCCTTCCCCAGACAGGGTGTTGGCTTCCCCACACACAGGTCCCCTGCTCCTGCACCCTCTCCCACAGGTTCGGGGTGCACGCCTCGCTGTGTCCGCTTCCTCTCTGTCGCATCCCTCCCCCTTACGCTCTGGGCCAGGCCAGACCTCTCCCACTTCTGGAAGAGTCCTCAGCCCCAAGCCACCCTGTGATGACACAGATACCCTCAGAGGGAGTGGGCGCCTTGCCTCTGAGGGCCTGAGTGGCCACTTGGGCTGACAGTGTGGCGGGTGGGATTCTGGCTTGGGCAGGGGCTGTTCATCAGGCCCCTTAGGTCCCTTGCAGCCTGATCTTTTGTGCTTGGAGGCAGCCTGTGCCGTGGGCCAGGCCTCTCCTCCACCCTGCGCCTGGCCCCTGGGCCACCAGTCGCAGGTGCCATCCTGCCTGCTGGAGCTGCTGTGGGAGGGAGGCGGGAGCATGGCGCGCAGCGTGCAGGGTGGTGCTGTTTCCCTCCAGCACCTCGGGAACCACACCTCCTTACAGGGAAGCAGGGCTCAGAGGGGGCTGGGCTTGGGCTCC